GTCTGGTCGCGGCGACATCTGGAGCAGCTCGATGCTGATGGTGACAACAGTGGTGGTCGTGGTGAAGCAATAACAGAAGTGGTTGTGAGATGGGCGCATCTGGACTGATTATCCCGCAATGGCAGCTGGGTGGATGCGCGGAGGCGCACGGTTGAAGGAGCAAACACATTCATGACACACACACACACACAAGCACGCTTGACACACACACACACACACAAGCACACTTGACACACACACACACATGTACACACGCACACACACATGTACACACACATGTACACACACGCACACACACTTGACACACACGCGCGCACACACACATGTACACACGTGCACGCACCGGCCCGCCTTCTCCTCCATGTGAAAGGGGAAGAGCTGGTCAGAGGGCTCGAGCACGCGCGGGGGCAGCAGCGAGGCGAGCGACGCGCCGGAAAACTTGGTGTACAGCAGGTAGTAGTCGGCCTCCTCGTCAATGCCATCCTGCTGCTTCATCTTCTCAACCACCTGATGAAACATGGTGGTGTTGGTCGTGAATATGCGTGGCGTGATCGTGCGAGGGCAACGGTTGGTGGAAGGTGTTGTTATGGCAGGGAGTGAGTACGCTGCACACACGCGAAGAGGTGTGGCAAAGATAGCAAGTGCACGGGGCAGCCCGTGATGCGACACACACACACACACACACACACACACACACACACAGACACAGACACAGGCGCATAGAGGCAGACACACGGGCGCATAGAGGCAGACACACACACACACATATCCACACGACCGGAAACGCACTTCTGCAGCTGTAGTTGATGTGTCAATGCGAAGAACGTGGTACATGTGGTTGGGATCCACCGTGGAGCAGTAGACTTTGATGCACATGAGCTGGCGATCTGCGTCGTCCTCGTCATCGGCGGCGCTGATGCAGCTAATGCAGGGTCGGCAGGCGAACAAAGACGAGCGGCTGGAGTTGCGCGAGCTGTGCTTGCTGCTGCTGCTGCTGCCGCTGGCGTGATTCGGTTGTCTGAACCCCATCGTCAACAGTGCTGCGGCCTCTGCTGGCTCCAACGGCCCAATGCTGAAAACACAAGCAAGTCATGCAGCGTGAGGGTTGTACGTGTGTGCATGCGTGCGTGTGTGCGTGTGCGTGTGAGCATGCGTGTGCGTGCGTGTGAGCATGCGTGCGTGTGCGTGTGCGTGTGCGTGTGCGTGTGCGTGTGCGTGTGCGTGTGCGTGTGCGTGTGCGTGTGCGTGTGCGTGTGCGTGTGCGTGTGCGTGTGCGTGTGTATGCGCGAGCTCACATCGTTTGCTGTCTCCATCTGTTCAAATGCACACACACGCACACACACGGAAGCGCCAACCCCACTGCGAGCAGGGTTGGGTGAGCCATGCAGCCATGTGTGTGTGTGTGTGTGTGTGGACCAACCTGACGCGACTCGCTGCGCGAGCTTCCCGATCCGTGCGGCGGAGCTTGCCGCTTCCACGCGACCCGCTTCGTTTTCGCACGCTCATTCTTGGTGAGCTTTGTGTAGGTGAGGGGTGAGGGGCGCAGGAAAGAGGGAGGAGAGATGACGCTGTGGCACGGTGTGATTGCACTCAAACACGACTCCAACAAAAGGTGTTCTGTATTGTTGGGCGTCGCTTGTTCGCTTCTTGCTTCGCTTTCGCTGGCCTAAATCGAGGTTGCAGAAAAGTACTTGAAAACATAAACGGATCTGTTGAAAATGTCAAATTTGACATTCCGCCGGGAAATTCAAAAACAGTGACACCAACGGATACAACACAGACGCACACACACACACACACACACACACACACACACACACACACACACACACGTCTGTCATGAGCGTACTGGAGATTGTGTCGTCGCTGAAGCGACTGGCAGAGGACGCCACCAACAGAGCAACCATCGTCGAGGTCCGTGGTGAACGTGGAACGTGGAATGAGTGTACATGCAGTTTGCTGCGTTGGACACGATACCCTTTCCTTGCTCACCACCACGATTCGCATAACCACACACACACACACACATACGCACAGGATCGTGGGTGCCTGCCAGGCCTCGTGCTCTTTCTCGATAACTCAGATACACGCGTCGTGCAGACGGCGTTGGACGTGAGTGTGCCTTTGTGACAGTGTCGATGTAGTTGTGACCTCGGGATCCACGGTCGAGAGTCCCGATAGCAGCAGCCAGCCTCCATGCAAAACGACGCTCACTTGCAATGTGCTGTATCGTGGTTGCTGTTTCAATACATACAATTGTGTAGACGCTGAAGCTGTTGGCGACGTGTGAATCCAACCATAAGCGCATGCGGACGGAGCTTGGCCTCGTGGATTCCCTCAAAACAATCAGCAAGCAGGTAGCCAACAAGCTGATGCTTGGTGTGTCGCCATAATCAAGCACATACATTACCACAGCACGCTACAGTATATCTAACAACACTGGCGACACTTGCACATGTGCACAAGCACCCTCGCTCACAAGCACACTCGCCCACAGCCACACCCGCTCATACACACATACACATGCGCGCACACACACACACTCTCTCTCTCCCTCATGCGCATACTCACATACACACACACACACATGTGAACATCAATCAAGGATGGGGCAACTGCAGAGACAGCGTCACGCGTCCTGGCTGTCATTCGACAAGGGAGCGGAAAGAAGCAACAGCAACCCGCGCTGAAGAGCACGCGCGTGCCGCTGTCAACCATCCAGACGCCCGGCCCACACATGCTGCAGACACACACAGCCCGCATGGCGCGAACGGTGGTGCTGCAGGTGATGGGCATGAACGACCTTGACGGGCGCCGCGCTGTGGAGGAGGAATTGCTGGCCATCAAGGGCGTTGTCAGCTTCACCTTTGATATGCGGTCTGCACGCGTCACCATCCGCGTCCGCGATTGGGTCAAGACAGAGGTGAGCACCAATATGCATGTGTGTGATTATATGTGTGCGAGCGTGTGTGTGTGTGTGTGTGTGTGTGTGTGTGTGTGTGTGTGTGTGTGTGTGTCTGGCTGGCTGTTTGTCTGCATATGCTATGTGCCTGTGGCTTCGCGCGCGTGTGTGCTAAACGATTCAGTTGCAGCATGTTCATCTGCGCTGTGTTGTGCTTGAAGCCGGGCGTGCTCACAAACAACACACGATGCAACGCTGCCAACCACCCGGCTCACTCCCGTTGGCCATGCAGGAGCTGTGCGAGGCGATTGGCATGACAAAGACAATGACTGCGCGCCAAGTTGTTCGCAACGATCTTGGACAGGAGGTCATGCTCTCCTTTGGCTCTTCCCCAGTCAAACTCGACGCCGTACGTGGGCCATGGGTATACATAATTTATGTGTGTGCATGCATGTTGGGGGTTGTGATGTACTTGCACATACACGCCGATGTGTGTGTGTGTGTGTGTGTGTGTGTGTGTGTGTGTGTGTGCGATGGATGGATATGCTCTGGCTGGGGTTTCCCTTTGCAACTATGCCGTGTCACCACCGTCATTATCACCTCACTGCCATCGCCATCACCACCATTGCTAGGACGGTGACCGTGCCCGCCCGCCTGTGCCGGAGTATCTCGATGAGGACGACGAGAATATGTTTCAGCCCGAAGTCGGCAAGCACGCCATCACAAAGCAGGGCGATACGCAGGGCGCAGGCTGGCTCGGCGCTATCGGTGGTGGGTTCGTGTGGCAGGGGACGGGGAGGAGGAGTTGTGTGCTGCGATGTGTGTGTGTGTGTGTGTGTGTGTGTGTGTTGTGCTGTGCTGCGATGTGTGTGTGTGTGTGTTGTGCTATGCTGTAGTGTTCTGTATGTCGTTGCCTCAGCTTGGTTTTCTCACCATGATCGCGCACTCACACACACTCACACATGTGCGTGCACTTACGCGTCTCAGGCTATCTGGCCAAGACCTTCTACTGGTGAGGAGGAAGTTTTGTCCAATGTCTGTGTCTGCGTGTGTCGATTCATTTCCCTGTTCCAGAAAGCGCTGTCTTTTGCTTCGTTTCATGCTTGAGTGTGCGCGCGTGTATATGTGCGTGTGTTTTGGTACGTTGTCGTGTGTAACGTCACGTCGTTATAGTACAAAGAGTTGAACGGCACCAAAGCAGAAGCAGTTTCATGTCATCCAGTCAAACACTGCCGGTGATTGCCGAAAGTTTATGCAAATCTTCCTCTATCTGTCATCAATGCATGCATGCGAACGCACAAACACAAAGCACAAACAACACAACACACCTTCCTTGCTTGCTTCCTTCCAACGCACACAGCAGTGCACGACGATGGCTGATGACGGCGCACGCGACGGCAGCGCTGCGGGTACAGAGGAGACGCCTCGTGAGTCACAGCCTGAAGGTGTGGTGCACCCTTCTTGCACAGCGTTTGTGTCTGCTTGTCTCCGCCATTGTTCGCTTGATGTTGGTGGAGGTCGATATCATGCACTGACGCGTCACTTTCAAAGACAAAGGAGACTCACCTCATATACACACACATACATACACACACATGCACACATACACACATACACAACACACCACACACCATACACACACACGTAACTGTAGTGACAGCGGTGGAGGAACCAACGCGGTCCCTGCGACCTCGCCGCACCATCCGGCCACCAAAGCAGTTTGATGAGGCCAACTTTGACCTCTCCCAGAGCGGCTTGGCCTCTGTGAACAAAGGGCGCGACCAGGCGGCACAACAGCACAATGAACCGCAGACAAAGGCACCAACGGGCGGCAGCCCCACTCCTCCCTCGTCTCTCCCCTCTTCTTCTCCCCCTGCGCCCCCTCCTGCTTCATCTGCCGCGAGTGATGTTGGTGCAAGTAAAGCCCGCCATCATCCCACCGCATCCACCCACTCAAGCAAACGCTCCACAGACGACCATGACGCAGCAGCGCCTGCATCTGGCGCACAAGACACCGCAACAGAGCAGCCACCAACAAAGCGGGGGAAGAGTGGAGGCAGCGGTAGCAGCGGCAGCAGCGGCAGCGGCAAGAACAACA